CATTTTTTTAAATATATTACATCTATATTAATTTAATCATAAATCATTTAATTATATTAATATTTTTACTTTTTATCAATTAATTCCATCCGACCAATTACTAACGTAGACGTCGTTTGTCCTACGTGGGACAGTCAGCACTTACACGGACATTTTTTAATAATTTTTCAATAACTTTTGATGATTTTTTTGTTTTAAATTTTTTTTTTTTACTCTTTTTTTTTTGGCCGAGGGCCAACAAGGGCTGCTAGCTGACCCTCGCTAGATCGGGGGCAAGGGCGGCGACGGCAAGGGGCCGTGCCATTGCTTTGGCCAACGAGGGTGTCATGGCCCTCGCCAACAACAACGAGGGTTGTGATGCCCTCGCCTAGTGCTGGTGAGGGTCGGCAAGCAGCCTTCTCGGCCCTTAGCCAAGAAAAAAGTAAAAAAGACAAAAAAAGAAAAGAAAAATTATATTCTCACCCTCTTGCATAGCACGTATGAAACCCTGCTAAATTCATAGTACCAATTGATTATGTTCTTTCATCGTCCAAGTTATCTTTTTAATTTGAAAGACCGGGCAAGTTTTGTTTATCAGAGTATACGAACATCATTTTCTTTTCTCTAACTTTCCTATTAGCTTCATTCGACTTTTCGATTCAGATAGAGGTTCGCGACATCAAAAGGTTCGAAACACCGACGAGACCTATTGCTTCTTGTATTACACCAACAAACTGAGCTTTCACGTAATTTCGACAACGCCCGGACTTTTCTATTTCATTCGCAAAACGAGTCGTATTTGTAGTCAACGGAGAAAGTATTCTTTTGTCACCAAATTGGGAAGTAATGTTCACTCAACAGGCAATTGTTTAGCTTAAGCATGATCTCGATCAATCAACACTTAATGAGTAAAAGATCATTATTCTGTCCATCGATCGAAAAGGTCGATTCCACTAACACCGTCAACAAGTATAATAGTCTTGCATAGAAAAAGGGCATGAACCAATCCACATAACATCTTCCCAAGATAGTCTTTCTTAATATAATAAGGTAGGCAGGGAGGTCCATGATGCGAAGTAGAGGGGAAATTATCAAAACAGTTCTAAACCTATTGTAATTGTATCAATTCAGTCATAAACATTTTTTTTGGTCAATTCAGTTCTAAACCTTTTGTATTTATGCCAATTCAGTCAATCCAGTCAATTTTGGCCAGTTAGCGATGACGTGGACGCTGATTGGCACCGAGCCTCCGGCCGACACTGATGTGGCAATTTTTAAATATTTTTTTTGTTCTTTTCTTCTTTCCCTGGCCAATCCAGCGACCGGCCAGGCTAGTGTTGCCGGCCACTGGTGAGGCTTGCTCTCGTCGGCACTGGCGAGGGCGAGCCACGACCTTGCTGTCACGGGTGAGGTCGGCTGAGCAGCGGCCATGGCGAGGCCACTCGGCCTCGCCACAGCGGCCTCGCCCAAATCTGTGGCTAGGCCGAGCGGCCTCACCATGGCCGACCTTGCCACGACGGCGACGTCAAGCAGTGGCCTCGCCCAGATCTAGAGGAGGCCGAGCAACCTCGCCATGACCGCTGTTTTGGTAATTTTTTCCAAAGTAGACAAAGTTGGTCTATCCACTCTCATCTCTCTCTCTCTCTCCATCTTTGTCACCTTCTCCTTTTGGGGTCGCATGTGTCCAAGTAAAGGAAGGACGTGGGTGACAGAAGAAGCAAAGAATCTCTCGACGAAATTAATATAACTAAGTAATATGATAGACTTCTAGCGTCGGGATGACTCACTTATTTAAACGTCCATTTATGACGTGACACATCACATAGCATGTTAATTCTTTAGGCCGACCTCTACGTATATAGTTATTGTTTCATTGTTCACACTATAGACCAAAAGAGACAGAGAGTACATGGACGAGGCCACGGTACTTGCGATGCACTGTACTCCAGGTTTCCTTACTCTGCAGTGACAAGTTAGAATGTCATCATCACTTTTGTTCAATAAATAATAACATAAATGATCTATGAATTTTAACCCAATATACAATATAATTTATAAACTTTTATTTTGTTCAATGTGGTTTATAAACTTTTAATTTGTTTAACGTGATTCTTGAACTTTTAATTTGTTCAATATGGTCTCTAAACTTTTGGTACATGCTTAATTTAGTCCATAAATTATATGAAAATATTCAATGATACTCTTCTATTAATTCAACTTCATGGACAATATCGAATATTTTCATATAGTTCATGGATTAGATTGAACATGTATTAGAAGTTTAGGGATCACATCAAACGATTTAAAATTTATGAACGACATTGCACATTAGATTAAAGTTTAGATACCACGATGAATAAATCAAAAGTTCAGGAATCATATTGTATATCGAGACAAAATTCATGAATCATTTGTACCATTTTTCTTCTCTTCGATGCACAGTGCTTCCTTGGCATCCTGAGCAGATGAATCCCTTTCTTGTTCTTCACAATGGAATTCAAATAGATCACTTCGATGCGGCCGAGTAAAAAGCTCTCTTAGTCGCGAAGCATTGGGAGTCGCTCCTAGGACAAACTTTTGTCCGGTCTCCTCATCGTATATTAGACCGATGCCTCGCGTTCATCGACAGCTCAAAGACAGAATCGACGCCTGTTCGGCAGTCTTAGTACCACGACTGGATTAATCGAAGATTAACTAATGAATCTGCAAACACCTGGAATTGGCAGCACACAGATTCAATTTAAGAAAGAGATCTGATGATACTTGAATGCCACGGCGAGGGTCAATGACATGAGTGGGCTGTCGAAAATGACTTCTATCAACCTTACTTTATAATAAAAGCTAATATCTATCTCTGGACGGCCATGAGTGCAGTTCTTATTAATGAGCTACTTCTTAATTGGACGCATGCTGTGATTTTGACACCGATATATATGAAAAAAGTATAAAAAAAGTTATAAATATATTGTATTTATGTCAATTTAATTTTAATTTTTTTTAATTGTGTCAACTTTTTCACTTGATACTAACTGAGTCCATCTGATCAATTTTGGCCGATTATCGACATAGCTGCTAGCCGTCCTATAATATGGTCGGTGCCGACGTGAACATTTTTAATAACTTTTTAAATTTTTAATGATTTTTTTTCCTTTTCTATTCTTTACTCTCTTTTTTTTAGTTGAGGATCGTCAAGGGCCACCGGTCAACCTTCGTCAGATCGGGGCAAGGGCCCCAAAGCTCTTGACTGGGGTTGGCGAGGGCTGCAGCACCCTTGCCCAGCCCAGATCTAGCGAGGGCATTGCAATCCTTGCTAGACTTACGTGAGGGGCCGCGCCCTCACTTTGGGCAGTGAGGACGTCACGGCCCTCCCTAGCCACAATGAGGGCATCGCGTGAGGGCCGTGATGCCCTTGCCGGCCCTTAGCCAAATAAAGAAAGAGTAAAGAAAAGAAAAAATAAAAAAAAATATAAACAAATCAAAATTTTATTAAAGATGTCCGTGTCAGCATCGGTTGTGCCACGTAAGACATTTGACCTCCACGTCTATGATTTCCGGCCAAAAGTGGCCGAATAGACTCAATTGACAAAATACGAAAATGTTTAGGATTCAATTGTTATAATTGAAATATTTATGATTGAGTTGGCACAAGTTTAATATATTTAGCACATTTTGTGTATTTTTCCCGATATTTATCGTTGTCCATTGAGAAGTACATGCAAATTACATCTTACGTGGGATTTTATGGGCGAGTTTGCGTAGGGCACGTTCCTCTGTGGAATAATTGAGTGAATAGGCAAAACATTTGATTTAAGAAAAGGAATTATATAATATAACTTGAAAGAGAAAAGAAAAGAAAAGAACTTTGATAAGTTAAATAGTTACAAAAAGAAGGAGAAGAAATAAAGGGAAAAAAATTTGAAAGTTGATATAAATTCATGGTAATGAAATTTTACAAGGGAGAAAAAGGAAGGAGGAAGTGACACGTGTGATATGTCCTTCTAAAAATCTCCTATATAGAATAGGTAAATAGATATATTTATTTTTAGGCCAAGAGACAAATTTAGTGATTGAAAATGAGGAAAAAAAGAGAGAATATAACATTAAAAAAAGAAGAAGATAAAAGTGAGCGGGAGTAAAGTAACGAAAAATGGGCCCCAAGGAAACCCCCGCTGTGCCGAATCTTTTTTATTACCAACAACATCCCCGCACTTCACTGTGCAGAATCATTTTTTATAAGCATATTTCATTCACACTTGTTATTAAGCTAAAATTATATCTATAAAGGTCATAGCTTTGTATACTTTCTTGTGTAACTTGAGACAATATAACGAACTAAGTTATTTCTTAGGGATCTCGACCAAAAAGGAAAAAGTAATTTCTTAGAGATCCAAATGAAAATATATATATGAAATGAGACACCCATCGACGATTTTAATTGCACAACTATTCTTCTAAAGAGAAAAAAAAAGGGTTGCGCATAACATAAAGCAAAAGAAAACGAAGTCAATTGGGTTGTACCCGAATATTTCGTTTTATGGGTGAACATACATAACTTTGGCACGATCGGGATGATCTTGTTTAAATCCGCGTAAGAAATCATGCATCACCATAGCTCGCGGTATTCATATCCCTTCCCTATGCGAATTCATCGAAAATTAAATCCCAAGCTACGATAAAAAAAAAAAAAGATGCTGAATAAATCGTAGATATTAAATGCAAAAGACGCAAAATCTACTGGGATTTGTATTTGTGGGGCCGGGAATATCATATGAATTTATACGTTAAGGGACAGAAAATATCGGCACGCATTATCGCCCCCTGCCATTATCGGCCTGCTTTGCCATCTTTCACTTTCCTTTTTTGTTCATAAAACCAAAACCACCACCCGACCAGGAGCAGCAGCTCTGATTTGAAAACCACCGCGGATAACCACCCGACCAGTAGAGAGAGAGAGAGAGAGAGAGAGAGAGAGAGAGAGACAGAGAGGTTTTTTTTTTGAATTTGTGTCTGCCTGCCTGCCTGCCTGCCTGCCTGCTCCGAGGAGTGAAGACGGCGAGAAAAGCAACCCGCTTTGATATTTTTGAACAGTGCCGTTCTTGTCTTTCTCTTTCGTGGGTGGCTTCCCTTTTTGGAATACGATGCCTCTGTGCGCCGGAACCACGCGTTTCTGAGCTGTTCCTTCCTGGGGAATCCGGCGAGCTCTCCCCCTCCTCCTCCCACCCTGGAAAGTCGCGTGCTTTTTGTTGGTAACGGCTCTTGTTCTTCCGGGGTGGTTTTGAATTTGAATGTTGAATGCGAATCTGTCGTTTTTTCCGAGCGTTTCGCTGCGGTGCGTGTTGTGTTTTGCGTTTGGCTGAAGTTCTGTGGTCGTGACTCTGGGTTTCGCGTTCCGTTTGGCCGGGGAAAGGATGGTCGGAGTGTTGACGTGAGGAGAGGATGTTGTGGGGTTGGCTCGGTTTAGTGGGAGTTCGAGTGTAGGCGTTTGGTATTTGTCTCGTTTAAAATGGAGTGTGGGAGGAGTGAGTGAAGTGATTCTTTGTTTTTCCAGCGGATGAAGATAATGTTTTCTTTTTTTCAGTGAAAGATTATGTAGTTGGCTTTTGGTTAGATTAGAGAAGATACCAAGCTGTTAGGAATGGTCAGCTTGATGACTGTGAAATGTGTATCCTGTCAATGCATTTTTCTTTAGATTGTTTTACTTTGCTGGAGATTGGTACTGCATGTGCGTCTTTTTACCTGCGCCGGTGCAGAATTCCCTTTAGTTGTGGCAATACATTTTATGAATGCAGCTCTCTATGGTCACCCTGGAAATTGTAGAGATTGGTTGTTTTGTTCTATTTGTTCTTCGCTTGTGCAGATTATAGGCACGAAAGAATGATAAATTTTCCGTTTTGTAAGATCCGATCCAATCTTAGCATATATATGCTCCACCCGCTGTAATCTTCTTTTAGGGCTAATTTGCGAAAATCTTGAGCATTAATTCAAGCATTGTGACTTGTGGCCCTGTCTATCTTTTTTCTATTTTCCTTTTTTTAAATTAACTGTTGGAGTTTCCTTGTAGATCTCGACCCACATGAGGCTGGTAGCAGTGCTCTTGTTTGAATTTTTATTTTCTATTCAAAGTTATGACGAGTTTCTTTGCCAATTATATATGCTGGTAATATTAGTAAAGCGGCTGAGCTACCTGGAGAAATTTCTAAACCGATGGCCAGTTACTGCTATTGTCTGCTTTGATGATGTGTCTGGTCTTGCTTTTATCTTCTTGAAGAAGTTAAACTTGACATGTTCTTTGACTGTCACCTTTGTGTTTAGCCTAGTGCTTTGGGAAACATCATCATTGGTATCATGTCTGGTATGCATGATGTTGGGTTTGGCCCAGTATTAGAGTGTTGCTTGAACCTATTTAATAATTGAATCCTCCTTTGCTTTCATGTGCATCTGATTTTGGGTTAGTCTGCAAATTATGGCTAAGTCTTAATGCTTTTTTTTTTTTTGACTCGAGTCCTTACTCCTTTGCCGTAGTGGATGGGAATGATCGGAGAGATTTTTCTCTCATAATATGTGCTATACGAGTGTAGTTTTTCCTTCTAGATTCATTGTCAAGTTTGGTTCATCTGTTCTGTTTTGAGCTTATACTTTTCATGTGCGCTTACTGATTACATCTGGAATTGCCATTGTGTCGCTGTTTTATTGAAGGCAGGTACTCTTTTGAGCTTTTGTCATTCTTCAAGATGGTTCATATAGACAGATGAGATTTGAAACTTGAAGTCCTTATCTTTTTACAAAACCTATATCAATACGAATCTTCAACTTCAACTCAATAAATCCGAGTTTTCTAATCATGGTGATAAAGGAGGTTGTACATAAAAAAAAGGAAGGTTGTCTGGTAATTTAGGAATTTCTTTGTCACTGTTTAGGGCTGTCAAATGGGTCGGGTCGGGTTTGGGTTTGGGTTTGGGTTGGTTTGAAAATGGTCCTATCCAAATTGACCTATTTAACCCGTTTTGACCCATATATATGCAATTCAAATTCATTGACCCATATCCGAACCGACCTATATCCGACCTGACTCATGCTATTAAAACACGCTTATATTTAATCCAACTTATGAAAACCCATACCCACCTATCGAACCCACTTTAAGCTCTTCATGTATATATAATACTTGGATAGAAATTTCATATCATATTAAAAAAAGTAGATTCACTCAATAAAAATAAAAAAAGTTAATAAATAAAGTAGAATACGTGAACTTAAAGTGAAATAGAGCTAGATATCATTGTATTTAATGAATATTATATTCTGCGGATGCCGGTTAAGCACTTTCAAACAAGGAAAAATATTGTTGTAATATTATATTCTATATTTTCAGCACAATAAAGTAAAATAGTGCCAGATGTCATTGTAAGACATTTTCAAGAACTTAGAAGAATCGCTGTTAGACGAACTCTCACCGAAAATGAAAATGAGGAGTGAGCGAGCGTGAAGGGAGGAGCGAGCGAGCTTCAAGAGAGGACTGCATGTCGGTTAACCCATATATGACCCATTAAAAAAACCCACACGTTTCCTAATTGTAGGTTAACCCTTGTATGACCCAACTCATCATATATGGGTTAAAAAATGGGCCTTCAACCCATTTTGACACCTTTAGTCACAGTGGTGTGATGTCGTTGTATAGTCTTACTATGTATTGATACGATGTATCACTTTCAACTTATTTTTTTAAATTTAGGATACTGACTTTTATTGATGCTTTGCTTCTTCTTTTTTCCACCACTGTACAGTATTTTCATCAATTCATTTGAATACTGAATTGCCTTGTGGTTGTTACTAGTCACTATTGCTGATTTTGCTTCTCTCTTGTGTAAACTCCTTTCTGTTTTACTGAGCATTTGCATGCACGTGTTAAATCCCTTTGACAGGCTCTCATAGTTCCTTTTCTTTATATCTATTGTCAGCAATAAACATTTTGACTTAGAGTTGAAGATGCCGGAGATCCAATTGGGTTGTCACACAGTCAGGTCCCATGGAATCAAAGTGGCAAGAGTACACATGCATGACTGGTTGATCCTCTTTCTTCTTGTGGTAATAGAGATTATATTGAACGTCATAGAGCCATTTCATCGATTTGTCGGAGAGGAGATGATGATAGACCTGAGGTACCCTCTGCAAGATAATACTGTTCCCATCTGGGCTGTTCCGGTATGTCTATAGTCAAAACATGTGTCAAACAAAATTCGCATGAAGTAAAAGTTAGTTATTTATTTATATTTTGAGTTAAGCTATGACATTTTATCACAGATTATTGCGATATTGCTGCCGTTTGCTGTAATTCTCATCTACTACTTCATCAGAAAGGATGTTTATGACCTGCACCATGCCTTATTGGGTAAATCCTCTTAATCTATGTGACTTCGTGCTAATCCATATGTATGAATATCATGTGCAAAGATAACTGTTTTAAGTGAATTTGTCCAGGTCTTCTATATTCTGTGCTTATCACTGGAGTTATAACTGATGCAATCAAAGATGCTGTTGGCCGACCTCGACCAGATTTTTTCTGGCGTTGTTTTCCTGATGGTAAAGGGGTAGGACCTACAGAAAGGCTTGCGCTTATGAATTTTTCACCTTTCCTTTGGGAATGATGTTTCAACTTGTCTGTCCTGTTTTCATTTCTTGATAGTGCTAGGCTCTTTGAACATGCAAAGAATGTAAAACGATCTGTGCCACGTGCAGGTGTTTGAAACTGTCACACGGGATGTAATTTGTACCGGAGACAAGGCTGTCATCAAAGAAGGATATAAAAGTTTTCCAAGTGGGCATACCTCATGTAAGCATCTAAAAGAAATCTTTGTTTTTTTGAATATACTGTTTGTTGACTGAAGTTTACAGAAGGCCAGAAAACATTAGATTTGTCTATATGCAGTACAGCATGAACTGGCATGGGTCGATTTTGTACTCCCGAAGAACCTGATTTCAAGCAATGTGAAACCTAACAAGATCTTAAATCAGATTATGGATGATGGAAACTCAAGAAGATAGAATGACAATGGAATAGTAAATACTTTGCGCCTTTTATAGTTTTTCCCAACTCTAGGTCCAGGTTTTATGGAGATAATTGTTTCTTCAGTGACTCCGGTAAAGGGTGGAATTACTGTTTTTTAAGTTGGTTCGGTTCTTTTTTACTGTGTTATTCAATTTTGAATCTAAGTTATGCCAAATTTGATATCAGGTAAGCATGTCCAGTAATGATTGAAATGTCTTGTTAACAAGAGCACTTGTTAAACATGCTTAATAACCAAATATTCGAATCTCAGAGCATCGATCATGCATATCATGAGGGCAGATAGTGCATTGGAAATTGCAGTAAATGCTCATTTGATTGCCTAAGAAGTGCTTTGGGGTAATTTTTTAACAAAATCTTAATGAAATAGTCAATTTGTGATCATTTTTGTTCATTCGGATTTCTTTTTTAGATTTTATAATGCTTTGAAATTTTGAAAATAAAAGTTATATGCAAATAGAGGCTTAGTGAGAGTTCTCAAGGCGATCCATGCCGTTGGCTGTGACACTGGAATTGGCTTAAAAGATGTCTGGTAGGTTTCTATTCTCCTGCTGCCAGTTAATTTAAGCCATTGCAGTATTTATGGATAATCACGACGAAGACAAGGACAACAAATAAGAATCAAGTTTTTGATAGTTTCACTTCTTACATTTGATTAGTTGGTGCCGTCATTGTATGATGAGAAAAAGTTTACTTGATTCATGATGCTGACCTGCTTTTCTAGGAGCAACATTCTTATTGAATCGTCAGTGCTCTAACATTGAACTGTAGTGATAGGGAACTGGATACATCTTTCAGCTAGTATATGTCTCATCCAGAGAAAGTCAAAAACTAGAAGGACCAGTAAACTCTAATGACCTTACTAAATCTGCTGACCAGGTTTCAAAATTATTAAAATTTTAAAATACTCAAAAACTACCAACTACCAAGTATAACATTGGCAAAATAAATAAATGAATACTTTTTGCCTGCATGTTGAGTAATTGACTGTAGACATTATTGATGTGTCATTAAAGTACAATACTCTATTAGGTAAATAACCGACACATTCACGAATTAAATTATATTAACAATGTTACTAATTTAATTTTGCGAATGATTTTACCACCTTTTTGCGACACGATATTTATTTTGAGGGAGCACTGGTGTGGCAGGGTGCTTTGCTGGACTGGGTTTTCTTGCGTGGTATTTGTCAGGGAAAATCAGGGTGTTTGATCATAGAGGCCATGTTGCGAAGCTTTGTATTGTCTTTCTCCCGTTACTTTCAGCAGCTCTTGTAGGAGTTTCTCGAGTTGACGACTATTGGCATCATTGGCAAGATGTATTTGCTGGGGCTCTTCTAGGTCTCCTTTCAACTTTGATTGAATTTTTTTGGTTGTTGCTGTACCAATCGTCTCCTTAAATAAATGACCATTCTTTTTAATCCAAACAGGGACAGTCATTGCTTCATTTTGTTACTTGCAGTTCTTTCCGCCTCCGTATGATGTAGATGGTACTCTCTTTACTCTTTTCTGAAGTAGTCTTATGTTTTCTAAATAACCTAATCTCTCAAGAAAATAGCCACTGGAAAACACACAGAAGCCAACAGGAATGTACTCTGCTTTTTGTAAGCTATGAGTACTGTTTGCTTATGCTAAGGAAAATGAAAGGCATATGACATGGATATTTTATTAGACATTATTAAAAGTGGTAGCATATTTTGTTTCTTCTTAGCGTGTTATTACTTTTGAAGTACAATTCTCATTTTCTGTGCACAAAAGAAGGAAAAAACAAAAGAAGTGCCATACATGTTTATGTACATTTAATGTCCAATGAAAATCATTTTCTCGATTGGCCTCCATTTCAAACCCTATTCAATTCTTTTTAGAATTCGCATCCAGCTTTCTACTTTCATGAACACTCCGTGCGCAATACACTTGAGTGACCTATGGCTTTTTTTTCCCAATTTTCGTCTTGCCTAGCTAGCAGCATAATACATTTGTCTTTCTGTTAGTATCTTAGGACATGAACGTGCCCTTGTGAGCATAATTGGTTACTGATTTGTATCTCAATTTCTGTGCATATTATCTGAGAACTTAGTAGATCTGAGTAATTTGATTTAATATACGATTTTGGATTTCTTGTGATAAACAGTCAGTTTAACTGAATCACGTGAAAACATCGTTTCCAGTTCATTTTTGTACTAGACTAAATCACGATAAATTACGATGCTGCAAAACGTAGGTTTAATTCCTTATGCTCATAAATTTATGAACATAGACCATCTTCCAAGATTAGTTGGCTGCTAGTCACATCTTCCTCTTTAAATCACGGTGCAGAATAAGGAGTTGCAATTGGAGTGTCAGGCATTGCTCTGAATTCATGTTGTTCTCAAATTATAATGGTGCATGTTACTGTAGAGAGACATCTGCTGATGTTCATGATTGTCTATGTTTAACCGCAGGTTGGGGGCCTCATGCTTACTTTCAGATGTTGGCAGAATCGCGGAATGGCCTTCAATCATCGACAAGCACAAACCATCTGAGAGTACAGCACTCAGAGCTTGAGAGCGTGTACATTGATTCTCAACGTGGAATGGAAACATCAAGTGGCAACGTCAGGGATACGAGCCCCATACTAGACGGGGTGGAGAGCAACTGGAGGCACTGACTTTGGGCTTCGACTTCGAGTACATGTAGAATCTTTAGTTTTCATCAGTACACGTGGAAGAGTACAAAACAAAAAGGAAATGGTGGTTCTCTTATTCCTTTGGACGTTTGGTTGTGCATAGTGTAATTTTGGGCTGCTAGGTTCTGGTTGTTTTCTAATCTGGTAGCTTCTGAATCAAATGTTTGTAGTGCAATGGCATCATCTTGGGGTCAACGTATCTTACCCAGTTGTAGGAATGCAAATGAGGGAGGTGAATGTCAAAACTTGGCAGTAGTATAAAGTACATGGTCAAGGAGCCAAGATAAGAGCAAAATGAAGCAGTCAAATGCAAATGCATAGCTTGCTACCCAACAGTCAAAACATTTACACCCTATATAGAATATAAGTGAACTATCGTGTGTACAAGTCAACGGGAAACTGCTTGCTTTAATTTGATAACCTAAAAGACAAGTATATGCAATCCATCCGGTACTGGTGAAATGCTAATTTAGCTATTGATGGTGAGGATTTAGGAAGAATTAACGGTAATTTGTTAGGTTTAGGTGAAAAACCAGATATAACTACTGAGTGCCATTTGAGACAATTAAATTTTCATAAGGTAGAGAGAGTGCATCTGGTATTTAACACAATCAAGATTACTGCTCAATCTCAAAGAAAAACTCAGCTGTTAGAAATTAGGCCAGCTAACCCTTGCAAAGACGCAACGTGGGAATTTGACCGAATGATGTGCAGGAAATGAGTGTAGCAAGGCCGAAAATCTTCAACATTTTACGCCGGAAATTGTTGTATCAGCAACTTCAGACATTGGAAAAGAACAATCCCAATGTGCTCTAGTAACAAGATACAATACTGACTTGAGAACAATGTCGAGTCGAGGTTAATAAATGTTATAAGAGGATCACCTTGTCGTATGAAACAGACTTTTCATCTATGATATTTCTTGTGTACAGTAGACCATATTCTCAAAGGGGCAATGGTTCGGATCAGGAGAAATACAAGGGCCGGAGGCAATATGTCCAGGACCCGGAAGAGAAGAATACAGAGGAAGAAGATGTTTGAATTTCAACAAGTCAACATAGTTCAGATTAGCCAGGTTAGTCCAACTCTCATAGCAACTTATAAGTCTAAGAAAATTTAGAGCCAGGAACTTGGTTTGCAAAAGAAAGCCTAAAGAATCAGTTTAGGCAAATGAGGAGTCAAAAAAAATCATAATTTCCAAAGGTGAAAAAGTCTGAGCTGAGACCAACGACTCTTTCGAGGTCAGTATCCCTACCAAGTTCATGTACCATCCAAGCTAAACTACCTTCAGAGTTCAAAATAGCGTCGATAAGAATGGCGGAAGATAAAGATTCAATTACTGACGAGGAGAAAAGGGCTGAGTTCGAATTCACCGACGAGGACATAATAGAGTATGAAAAATTTCCAGTTCACGCATCTCAAAGTCCTTAATATGTCGGCTAAAATTAATGGCAAACATGTGTCTAGAGTTTTGGTTGATGGAGGATCTACTCTGAACCTCATTCCGTACAAAATCTTCAAGAAACTTGAGAAAAAGGTCCCAAGAGAGATAAGTGAAGTCAAAGTAGTGTTCGTCAACGACTTAACCATTGGGTCAAAGACTTCAAAAACTTCTTCCTCTGTCGCCGAGGCTGATGGATCATACAATTTGCTACTAGGAAGAGACTGGATCCATGGTAACCGATGCCCGTCTACCTTGCACGAAATGTTAGCCTTTTGGAAAGGCGACAAGGTCGAGTATGTCAAAACTAACCTCAATGCATATGTGACCTGGGAACATGCTCTCCGAGTGAACAGTCGTGCTAATAGAACAATCATTGATAATTCATGTGTCATAGAACCCCTGAGGGTCGACCCCAGACACCTGACTTTCTGCCGCTTTGACAAAGGAAAGTTGATTGGATCCCCAAAGATAAGATGGCCGGGCAACTAGACAAAGTTGTCTATGGAGAACCATATGTTTTTGGAAGACCTCAGTTGAACAAACCGAGCAATTTATTAACGTCGCTGACTGTATAGTAGATTTCGAGGAATCTCCACTGAAAGAAGATGACAAAGTAATGGAAGCTCAAGACCCTTTAAGTGAAGTTGACATCGATGATGAACAATATCGTCGGCCAATTTATGTTAGTGCGCTATTGGACGATGACTTCCAGACACAGTTGGTGGAATTGCTGAAGAAATACAAATAATAATTTGCCTGGGATTATCATGAGATGCCAAGATTAGGAAGAAACGTGGTAGAACATAGGCTGCCAATAAAAAAAGGATTTCCACATAAGCAACCTCATAGGAGCTTTGCCTTTGAAGTGATCTTGAAGGTCAAAGAGGAAATTGAACGACTATTGGCAATAGGGTTCTTCAAAACTACATGGTACGTGGATTGATTTTCCAATACAGTGCCCGTGAAAAAGAAAAATGAGAAGTTGAAAGTATGTCTTGACTTCAGAGATCTGAATGCTGCAACTCCTAAGGATGAATATCGAATGTCGATGGCAAACATGCTGATCGATTTGGTATCAAGTATGAGATTATGTTTCTAATGAATGGCCATTCGGGGTACAATCAAATATTCATAGCGGAAGAGGACATGCACAAAACCGCACTTAGATGTCAAGGAGCCATCGGTATGTTTGAATGGTTGGTGATGCCGTTTGGTCTAAAGAATGTTAGAGCAACATACTAGAGGGTGATGAATTTTATCTTCCATGGCATGATTAGGGATATCATAGAAGTCTACATCGGTGATGTCATTGTCCAATCAGACTAGGTAAGTCATCTTAACTATCTCAAGTAGGCTTTTATCAGGATGCATAAGTTTAAATTGAAAATGAATCTATTGAAATGCGCCTTTGGAGTTAGGGCCGGTAATTTTCTAGGATTCCTAGTTAATTAAAGAGGAATCGAAAAAGATAAAAATAAAGTTAAGGCTATTCTAGATTTACCGCCACCGACGAATAAGAACCAGCTGCAAATGATTATAGATAAAGTGAACTTCTACGGTGATTTATTGCTAATTTGTCTGGCAAAATTGAAGCTTTATCTCCTTTACTTAAGCTAAAAAATCAAGAGGATTTTGTTTGGGATAAAAAGCACCGAAATGCCATCGATCGTATAAAAGAATATTTGTCTAATCCTCCAGTTTTGATACCGCATAAAGCAGGTATGTTGTTAAAACTATATGTATCGGCGATCCATACAACTATTGGAAAGCATGCTAATACAGGAGAACAATGAAGGCAAAAAGCATGGGGTGAATTACCTTAGTAGAATATTGAATGATGCAGAAAAAAGATACAACCCAATCGAGAAATTATGTTTATCCTTGTACTTTACTTGTAATAAATTGAGACACTACATGTTGCCGACAACGGGTTTATGTGATATAAAACGGATCAAGTACAAGCTAACTCGGCCAATTGTCACAGGCTGCATGGCTATGTGGGTTTTTGCTTTGTCCGAGATTAACTTGATATATGTTCCACTCAAAAGACAAGCAGTTTGCCGATTTTATCACACAGTAACCATGACAATGAAAATAGATAAGAGTACCGATCAACACATGCCTGCCTTGATTGAGTTTTTAGCTTTAAAGGGACAGGGAATCTGTCACAAAACAATCACCCTGCTATTTCATTTTCACTTTCCTTTTTCCAACTAAAACCAGCTCTAACTCTAAAACGACACAACCCAGAGAGACATATTTTTGAGTTTGTGCCTGCTCCATATGGTAAGAAACGGCGAGAAAAGCAACCTTAGATTTACTGCCGTTTTTGTCTTCTTCCTTTTGGCAGGGGAGCTTTCCTCTGTTTGAAAAAATGGCGTCTTGGCGCGAGCCTCGTCCTCGCCTCTGTGTAGTTTCTTTCCTTTCGGGGATCTCCGGCGAGCTCTTCCGAATCCCAAGCTCACGCGCTGCCGCTCCTCCTCCTCCTCTGAGCAACGTCTCCGAGGTTCAGGCACTCGTTCTGCTTCGCTCGCGTCCTCCCTTCAGGTTTTTGTCTGTTCTGAAAAATCACGCGCGCTTTTGTTCGTAACGGCTCTTGGTCTTCCGGGGTTTAACATTTGAGCGTGAAAGGGTCGATGTCGAGCGTTTCGATACAGCACGCGTTACTCATGTGGGTTGTGTTTTCGTTCGGCTGATGTTCTGTGCTCGTCGCGCTGAGTTTCCCGTTCCATTTGCCGGGAGGAGGATGCCGAGTACCAACGTGAGGAGTGGATATTGTGGGGTTGGCTCGGTTTAGTGGAGTGTTTGAGTATTGCGTTTGGTATTGTCTCGTTGAAATTGAAGTGGAGGAGGAGTAACTGAAGTCATTTTTTTTCCAGCACATGAAGATGATGTTTTTTCTTTCCTTGTTGTGAAAGATTATCTAGTAGGCTTTTAGTTAGATTTGAGAACAAACAAAGCTGTTAGAAATCGATGCATCGGCTTGATGACTGTAAAATGTGTATCCTATCAATGCATTTTTCTTTTCAGGAACGAATAGAATGATTGTTTTGCTCTTCTGGAGATTGGTGCTGCATGTGCGTCCTTCTATATGTGCCGGCGCAGAATTTCCCTGTAGTTGTGGAAATGCATTATATGGATGCAGCTCTATGTTCACCCTGGAAACTGTGGACATTGGTTTTTCTGTTCTTTTTTGCTAAGCTTATGCAGATTATAGGCACGTAAAAATAATAATTTTTTTCTTTTTGTATGATCCGGTCGTACATGCTCCAACCGCTGTTATCTTCTTTTAGGGCTTGTTTGTGAAAATCACGAGCATTTATTTAAGCATCGTGACTTGTGGCCCTGTCTATTTTTTTTTTTAGCTTTTGGAGTTTCCTTGTAGATCTTGACCCACATGAGGCTGGTAGGAGTGCTCTTGTTAGAATTTTTACTCTCTATTTAAAGTTATGACGAGTTCTCTTGCCAATTTCTTTGGCTGGTAATATTAGTAAAGCGGCTGACCTACTTGGAGAAATTTCTAAAGCGCTGGCTAAAATCACTGCTATTGTCTGCTTTGAAGACATGTCTAGTCTTGCTTTTATCTTCCAGAAGAAGTTAAACTTGACATGTCCTTTGCCAGTTGCCTGTGTGTTTAGCCTAGCGCTTTGGGAAACATCATCATTGGTGTCATGTCTGGTATGAATGTTGTTGGGTTTGGCCCAGGTGTATTAGATGTATCAGAGTCTTGC